AGCCTAAACAGTCAGCAATATTGTTGTCCCCGTATACTCCCCATTTACCCATAATATCATGGACTGCGTCGGTCACCGAAATCTTCAGTGCCTTTGGCCGAAAACCCAAGCCCAAACCCCCCAAACCCGGCCCAAACCCCCAGCCCTAGTCCAACCCCCGAAGCCCTTAAGCCCTAAACTCTAAGACCCCCCCCCCCCCCCAGTTGAAAAAAATCCCAAAATCCAAAGCCCAAGGTCCAGAGAAGCAGTGTGAGGGCGGCAAGGATTGCGGTGCTTGCAAGACCGCGCGGATGCCCGGGCTCTGATGTCTTGGTGCTCCTTTCATGGAGGGTTTGGGGAGTTTAGGGTCTGGACTGGAGGGTGTGGTTGGGGTTTAGAGTGGGTTTAGGTGAGTTTAGGGTTTAGTGTTTAGTGTTTGGAGGGTTTAGAGGGTTTACAGGGTTTAGAGGGTGTAGAGGGTTTAGAGGGTTTAGAAGGTTCAGAGGGAGTTTAGGGAGTTTAGGAAGTTTAGGGACTTTAAGGAGTTAAGGGGGTTTCGGGAAAACCCTAAAACCCTGAACCCTGAAGCCCTAAACGCATCAAAATCAGGTTTAGGGTTCAGGGTTTCTCATCGAAACGCTGAGCCGTGTACTGACCCTCTCGCACAGCCAAAGCCTGAAATCCACAAAGGTTGATGCTGGCGATGATTGACAAGTGAAGCCTCTAAATGCAGAAGTTGGGACGTTCCCCCTTATACCACTAGTTCTTAGTAGGGATTATCGTACCCCCTACTATATTCCCTATTAAGGACGATTAGAAAAAAGGGGGAACATCTAAGCGCAAAAGGTGAAAAGAAGGGTCGCCGAAGTTTGCAACGACCTAAGCCCTTAAAAAAGACCAGCATCGAAGCTCCTTGCAGCAGTAGGCCCAGTAAATCCCTAAACCCTAAATCCTAAACCCGAAACCCTAAACCCAGTAAATCTTTGAACCCTAGATCCCTAAGCCCTCAATCCCAAACCCAAAACCCTAAACCCTAAACCCTAAACCCTAAACCCTAAACCCTAAACCCTAAACCCTAAACCCTAAACCCTAAACCCTAAACCCTAAACCCTAAACCCTAAACCCTAAACCCTAAACCCTAAACCCTAAACCCTAAACCCTAAACCCTAAACCCTAAACCCTAAACCCTAAACCCTAAACCCTAAACCCTAAACCCTAAACCCTAAACCCTAAAAAACCCTAACCCTAAACCCTAAACCCTAAACCCTAAACCCTAAACCCTAAACCCTAAACCCTAAACCCTAAACCCTAAACCCTAAACCCTAAACCCTAAACCCTAAACCCTAAACCCTAAACCCTAAACCCTAAAGCCTAAGGATATTTAAATGTTAATTCAAAAGTGGGCAACGGTGATTTTCGGCATCCCCAAAAGTCTGCGGCGAGGTGACTTTTTCCGTTTGCCTCAAAAGTGGGCAACGGTGATTTTCCTGGCCTCAAAGCAGGTGCCTCTGATTTTTCAAGCCCTAAAAGTGGCAACGGTGATTTTCCGGCCTCTTAGGGTTTAACGGTAGGGTTTAGGGTTTCAAAAGTGGGCAACGGGTTTTTTCCGGCCTCAAAAGTGGGCAACGGTGATTTTCCGGGATGCGGACCAAAAAAATTTATTTAGGATCAAGAAAAAATTATTTAGGATCAAGAAAAAATGTATTTAGGATCGAAAAATAATTTATTCTGTTCTTCCGACGGAGAAAGAGAAAATGGGATGGAGGGAGGGAGAAAAGGAGGGAGGGAGGGAAGGAAGGGCGGAAGGACAGGAAGGAAGGAAGGAAGGAAGGAAGGAAGGACGGAAGGAAGGAAGGAAGCAAGGAAGGAAGGAAGGAAGGAAGCAAGGAAGCAAGGAAGCAAGGAAGCAAGGAAGCAAGGAAGCAAGGAAGCAAGGAAGCAGGGAAGGAAGGGAAGGAAAGGAAAGGAAAAGGAAAAGGACAAGGAAAAGGAAAGGAAAAGGAAAAGGAAAAGGAAAAGGAAAAGGAAAAGGAAAAGGAAAAGGAAAAGGAAAAGGAAAAGGAAAAGGAAAAGGAAAAGGAAAAGGAAAAGGCCGGAATCAAGAAAGACAGAAAAAGGCAATTTCACAAAAGAAAGAAAGCAAGGAAGACGTCGTGCCAGCTTGCTTCAAAGCATACGTATTCTGGCCTTTGGTTGCTTGGTGCTGTGCTCCTAAGGTCCTCTGGTCACGTGGTCCTCTGGTCCTCCGGTCCTCCGGTCCCGTGGTTTCCCGGTCCCGTGGTCAGAGTTTGTTTTTATTTATTGCTTTTTGGTCATAATGGTATATTTAGTTCTGTAGGAAAACATAACATAACATATGATATATGTATGTGTATATATTAAAACAAAGTACAATGATATTATATAGTGGAATAGAGTATCATAGAACACAATATCGTATAGTATACCTTTGTATGATAAAAAAAAACATCAAAAATCGTAGTAAGAAAGCGTATATGTATATATATATATAATGCTATTTGTATATATAAACTTCATAATACACAATACATATTTATTGTTTGTTTGGCGCCGGGCAAGCTTGTTCAACGCGTATGAATCCCTTCCAAACCCATGATGCGAGCATTGTGTTTGCAAATGGGGGGGGTCTGCGCCCCCCCCCCCCCCCTCAAACCCCCCGCTGCTTTTTTAAGCCAGCGTATGAATATCCTTTCCAAACCAATGATGCGAGCGTTGTGTTTGCAAATGGGGGGGGCTGCGCCCCCCCCAACCCCCCCGCTGTTTTCTTAGTCCGGGCAAGCTTGCTTCAAAGCACATGAATCCTTCCAATCCCATGATGCGAGCACTTTTTTTGCATAATATAATAATACACAAAAACACAACACTTTTCAAGTATATACAAGAATATGCAGCAATATACACGTAAAACAAGAATAACTTACAACAATTTTCAGTAATTGACAATAGTATTCAATAATCGACAACAATATACAATAATATACAAAAATGTACAATAATACACAACAATATATACAATAATTTTCGAAAATATACAAAAAATATACAGTAATATAGAAAATCACAAAAACTCAATGACATGCAATAATGTAACATAGTATACAATAATATACAATAATAGACAATAATATACAATGACATACAATAATATACTATAATATAGAATAATCTGCAGTAACATACAAAGAAAACCCAATAATATACAATAATGTACAGTAATCTACAAAAAAGTGAATAATACACAATAATTTTGAAAATATACAATAACATTCAATAATATGCAACAATATAAAGTATTATAGAAAAATACAAGAAAATACACGACAATACAATAATACTCAACAAGATGTACAACAATATACAATAATATGCAAGAATATACAATGTCATACAATACTATACAAGAATATACAATACTATGCCATAATATACATGCTTCAGAGTATACGCATTTTTTGGAAACTTCTAATGCCAAGATGCCAGCATTGATTTGCAGCCTCTGCAAACTCAGAAATGCTGCTATTTACAGTATTTCCAGCCTTTGAAATCGCAGAAATGCTGCTATTTTCAGTATTTGCAGCCTCTGGAAACTCAGAAATGCTGCAGTGTACAGCATTTCCAGCTTCTGAAAGCGCAGAACTGCTGCTATATACAATATCTGCAGCCTCTCTGGGAACTCAGAAATGCTGCTATTTTCAGTAGTTCCTGCATAAATGCTGTGTTTTTCCGGTATTTAGAGCTTGCGAACGGCCAGAACTGCTGCATTTCTGAGCGTTTACGGCCTCCGCTTCGCTTGCAAGAAGCCTTCGAAGCCTTCAGTAAATTATTTTTTGATCCCAAATAGGTTTTTTTTTTGATCCGCCTAGAAATAAATTATTTTTTGATCCCAAATAATTTTTTTTGATCCCCTACCCAGCAGGGTTTAGGGTTTAAGGTTTAGGGTTTAGGGTTTAGGGTTAGGGGAGCTTAGGGTTCAGGGTTTAGGGGTTTTAAGGGCTTTAGGGTTTAGGGCTTTTAGGGTTTAAGCTTTGGGGAGTTGCAAGTGTCGAGCAGGAGCACTCTTAGAAACTATCTGGGGCGCTACGGGAAGTCGATGCGTAGGAGGGGGCAAATCGTACAAGCCAACATGTGGCAGCACACAGCAGCAGCAGGCCGAGGCCCTAAACCCTAAACCCCTAAACCCCTCAACCCCTAAACCCTAAACCCTAAACCCTAAACCCTAAAACCTAAACCCTAAACCCTAAAACCCTTAACAACTACCTCAAGCACCTCCAGAAAAATGGCAGCCCCCAGGAGTGCCAGACGACGTGCGCAGATCCTGTCTGCGACTGGAAGTGCTTCACCCGGCAAGGGCGGGTGGCGGGGGTGGACTGAACCTAAACCGGTGAGTCTGCGATTGTATTATTATTATCATCATTATTATTATTATTATTACATGATTATTTTTATTTTTACTCTCATTATGTTTTCTTTTGTTTTTCATTTTTTGTTTGTTATGGGTTCAGGGGTTGGGGTCCAAGTTCGGCTTGAGGGCTTTCAGTGTTCTAGGTTTATGGGGTGTTGTGATTTTGACGTTGAAGTGTGGGTGGCAGACCCTAAGCCTCCTGAACCAAAACCCTCTGAACCCTCCGAAACCCCAACAATACCCTCTAAAGCCGAAACTCCCCAAACCCAAAGCCTCAGCCCTAAACCCTCAACCCAAACCCTCAACCCTAAACCCAGACCCCAAACCCTAAGTGCATTCTCATGTGGAAATTCTGTTAGCCCCAAGTCCCGAACCCCGAACTCTCAAATCTTTGCAAGCCCTAGTTTGGCATAACCACTGATGAGCCCAAGCCCTAATCCCCAAACCCGAAGCCCTAAACCCCAAGCCCTAAACCCCAAACCCTACACCCCAAACACTAAACCCCGAACCCTAAGGCTCAAAATCCCGTGCATAAGACCTGCCCGAGGTTTGAGCTGCTAGCACTTTTCCTGTTTGCCCCTTTCTCCGCTGTAGGGACATGAATTGGCGCTACAAACACATGCATGCAGCTATGGCTTAGTAGCTCAACAGCTTCGTGTCGACATCCGCCAGCTTGACAATCCCGAAAGGGCCAGCAGCCTGCAGAAGTATCTTGGGACTTTCTTTCCCCGATACCTTCAAGAGTGTGGCTGGTCATCTCGAAGTGATTAGCTTGGTCAATATTTTGTGCTACAGGGTTCGACAACATCTCAAAATCCATGTTGCAATTTTGTGTGCGCAAGGAAGGCATAGATCAGTTGCTGTTGCAACTCTTGCTTGCGAGCCGTCTGTTCCCGCGTGACAATGTCAGGCTCCAGCATGGTCATCAAAGGAACTGGAACACTGCTTGCGCGAATTGTCCGCAGTGCAGCTTGGTGTATGAGCAAAACCACACTGGAGCCAGCTTGCTTAAGCAACATGTGCTGAGGGGCGCCTTGAGTTTCACCACTGACGACACGGAGCATCCTTGGATTCTGCAGGATTACGTTTGCTGCTCTCTGCAGGTTAAAGGTTGGGGCTTCCCTTTCCCCCCTCTTGGGTTGTCCTTTCCCTCCCCTTTTCGCCACTCGCATAGGACTTTGTTTGCAGCTTTGATGGTAATGCATCTGAAAATGCTACATCAAGCCAGTCCTCCCAAGATGCAATTGCCATCGTTACCTGCTTTTCCTTGAGTGCTCAGAGAAGCTGCGGCATGCACTTCGCTGGTGGAGAGGTCGACCGTGATCCCCTGTGTTGTGAAGGTTGCTGCGCTGGAGCAGTCAACCTCACTCATGGCCAACGTGAACCTGACCGCCGCATGCCCATCCATGCTGCTGCCGTTCGTCCACGCAAAGATTCCGACGGTGAGCGTGTGCTTCCTGCCTATATTACCTGAAATCCTCAATCAATTCCAGAAGACCCTATGACCAAATGACAGTTTCGGTGCATCAAAGTTCTCTGTGCCCTAATCTCCTTGTAATCCCTTCTTGACCATAGAAATAGCTTTCGGGGTTTGAGGGTTTCGGAGGAAGCCTTCAGCAAGCTATGTCTTTATTTGGGCCTTTTGAGGATTCAGGGTTGTTTGTGTATGGGATTTTGAGGGTATTTCAGGTAGTGACATTTTTGGTGGTTACGTTTGCAAATATTGTTTCATACGATTTTTTTGGTTTCTTGGGTTTTAGGGTTTAGGAGGAAGCCTTGAGCAAGCCATTTCCCTATTTTGGGTCGATTCAGGGTTGTATTTCGGGTAGAGGCATTTTAGGGGGCTACGTTTGCAAATATCGTTTCATACGATTTTTTTGGTTTCTCGGGTTTTCGGGTTTAGAACGAAGCCTTCAGCAAGGCATTTCCCTCTTTTGGCGAAATCACCCTATCAAAATCATCCTCTCCCCACAGCCAGGTTACTTCGAGGACCACGCCGCGTGGATGAAGGTGGCTCTGCAGAAGCTTGTGTTCAAGCAGTTCTTGGTGCCGGGGACTGTCACATTCCGACCGGCTTTGCGAGAGATTTTGAAAGGTTCGGCAGAGCCAGAGCCGAGGGAAGGGGAGGAGCGCCTGGTTGAGCCGACTGGCCGCGCAAAGCAGGCCAAAGCGAAGTCGAAAAGCAAAAGCAAGTCGAAGGCAAAAGCAAAAGCAAAAGCCCAGGGCGGGAAACACAAGCTCCAGGAGAAGGGCGAGGAGGAGGAGGAGGAGGAGGAGGAGGAGGAGGAGGAGGAGGAGGAGGAGGACAAGACTCGGTCGACTCCGAGGAGGATCTCGAGGCGTTTTGCCAAGGTGCTTGCCCAGCGGTTCACAGGTCAGTTGAAACTGTTTTGAGGATCGGAACTCCTCCTGTACAGACTGCCCATGAGTGTATGCGCCCTGCTCATGAGTGCGTGCGCTGCGGGCAGTTAGAGTTTTGTTTTCCTTGAGGAGGGGCTTGGGCCGCAAGGTTCGCAAGGTTCTGTCGGGAACTCCAGGATCACGGCGGGCTTGACAAAGCCTAGGCATGCTGAAACTGTACCTTTTCGGGCTTTAGGCAGAGGACTGCCATCTTCTTGGACCTCACTGAAAATAACGCCTTCTAATGCCTTCCAGGTCCTTCAAGCTTGCTTCGATCACGATGATCAGAGATGCATGACTGAACCTGCTCCTTTGCCTTCTTTTATAGGAGGTGGCTCTGAGCTTGACGTGCTCGGATCTCAGCAGTGAAATCTCTGTTCACGCTGAAGATTGTACCCCATCCCCCAGCCCTACTCATCATGATTGTAATGCTTCGCCGCTTCGCTTTTCTCCTGAAAGCATGTTGAGGTTGTCCTTGCGTGACAGCGCTTTACACCCTTGTGACAGATCCATGCTTAAGAACAAGTCACTCAGCCGAGGTCACGATTGGTTTTAATGCAGGTGAAGCCACTGTGCGGAGCTCGCGATCCACACTGCGCTGCACCTCAGGCATGCAACGATCGCATCGCTCCTTGACTCCTTCTTGGATTGGGGCTCAATCCTTTATTAGCCCCGTCCTTCTTGGATTGGGGCTCAATCCTTTATTAGCCCCGCCTCACTGTATGCTGAGAATTTTTCTCAGCCTCCTACTGATGACGCCCTTGAATGGACTACCTATATACCCTGAAACCTTCTGTCGGGGGACTAAGAGACAATCGTCTGAGATGAGTCCTGAGTGCTTCCTCTCTAACAATGCTCCTTCGGAGCTCCCTAACTTGTATTTTAGCAGCATCCTTGATTTCCTTGAGCAGCCCCGCAAGTGGGGCAGTGATTTCTCACACCTTTCTCAGCAAACCGTTGCACATGGCCTTGCGCCCAAGCAGCTTCGCACGCTTCTGGTTTCTGACATTAAACTCTTCAGAAAAACTGATTAATTGCTCATGCATTGGTGTGTGGTGATGCGCAGGACGTGCCAGGTCTCCAGAAACGCCTGGCGGCCCTCCAGCAACATGAGTATAGAAAACGGAGGAAAAGGAGCAGTCCTTCCACGATTTTTAGGATTAGTGGTTTTACCACTTCTGTTTGCGAGTTTCTTCTTGAGATCTCTGATTTTCTCCAAAATCCTTACCATACCAGAAATGCACTCTTGCCGCCTGTGTCTGTGCGCCAATGCTGCCCGCAATGGACTCCAGAGGATGATGGCAATTTCACCATCCTTCGTGAAATTATTAACCTAGAGTTACAACCGTGAACAGCCCCTAATATAGTATTCTTTTAATTGGGCTTTTCATTCCTTTCATATTTACGTCTTACCTCTCATTTCCAAGCTGTCACGAAATATCGTGTAGTCATGTCGTGTCACCCGTGGGGTACCACCTTTTTGTCTGACCGACGCAAATCCGGCCGAAGCTCAGACCCTAAACCCCAAACCCCAAAGGCCCAAACCCTAAACCCCAAACCCTAAGCCCCAAACCCTAAACCCCAAACCCGAAGCCCCAAACCCTAAACCCCAAACCCCAAACCCCAAAGCCCAAACCCCAAACCCCAAACCCCAAACCCCAACCCCTACACCCTAAACCCTAAACCCTAAACCCTAAACCCTAAACCCTAAACCCTAAACCCTAAACCCTAAACCCTAAACCCTAAACCCTAAACCCTAAACCCTAAACACTACACCCTAAACCCTAAACCCTAAACCCTAAACCCTAAACCCTAAACCCTAAACCCTAAACCCTAAACCCTAAACCCTAGCCCTAAACCCTAAACCCCAAAGAAGTGCATTCTCTGAGGTGCAAGCCGACAGCGCAGTGCCCGGAGCCGAAGTGCCACCTGAACTGCGGCCCGCCGCCGGACCTCCGCAGGGGGGGTTTTGGGTTTAGGGTTTAGGGTTTGGGGTTTGGGGTTTAGGGTTTAGGGTTTAGGGTTTAGGACTTTGGGGGGCTCTTGTAGGGCTTATAGGCTTTGGCAGTGTTCCATGGGTTGATCGGTTTTCTTGTGTTTATCGTGTGGTTGTTTTTTCCTTTCTCGCATGTTTTTCGTTTTTTTCTCGGTGGTGGTGGTGGTGGTGGTGGGGGCTGTGGTTTAAGTTTTTTTTTTAGCTTGGAGGTTAGGGTTTAGAGTTGATTTTTCGGCAGGGGGGGGGGGGGGGAGGGGCTAGGGTCTTAAGTTTTTTTGGTGGAGTGAGGGGGGGGGGGGGTTTGAGGGTGCAGGGTTTAAGGGCTTGTGTGTTGTGTTTAGGGTTCGTAAACGGATCTTTGGGGTTTAGGATGTAAGGATTTGTTGGGGCTTAGGGTTCTTTGTTATTTTTGGAGTTTGGGGATTAAGGTGTTTAGGGCAAATGTCTTCAGGGTTTGTGTAGTGTATGTTCAGGTTATCGGGCTTCTCGGATGTAAGGTTTTGAGAGTCGGACTCCCAATCACAGAATATCTGTCAACCCAAAACCCTAAACCAACCTAAGCCCTGAAACCCAAGCACTAAGCCACTAAACCCTGTGCAAACGCCTAAATCCCTAAACCTAAGCCCTAACCCCCTACTGGAAGGTTCTTGGGCAAGTAAGGTAACAACCGTTATTGCAACCTTCCTTAGTTCATTGTACTTGCACGACTGCCCACATGTCGAGTGTCGGCAAGCGTGCATTCGCGATGCTGGCCGCGGTCTAGATCAGCGCAAAGGTTTACTAGCAGGCCATAAATGATTGCAGGCTGACGTCTACTGGCGCCGCAGCCGTTGATCAGATGAGATTGGCCAAGTCATTACATGTTCCCTGACGCCGACACCGAGAGACAATCAAGTCTGTTGACGCCCAGCATGGGCACATCATGGCGCTTGCACCTGTCGCGGTCCCGCAGACACTTGCCATTGTCTATGCAGATGTTTTTCGACTCATCGAAACGTGGCTCCAGGTATGGGGCTATGCATGTTTTCGAGCTTCTGTGGCAGCAAGCACGCTATCGGCGCGAGTTTGGAGGTCAACTGTCCTGAACGAACGAAACCTTACACTCTAAGCCGCAGTTTTCGGGCTGTTTTGGTTATAGGGCCCTTCAGGGATCTAAATCCCCCTTCCCTTCGGAGCCCCACTATAGGGTCCTTGAGGATTCTTAACCCCCCGTCCCTCCCTTAAGAACCCTAGGGTCCCAACTAAACCCTAAAAACCCTAAACCCTAAACCTTAAACCCTAGATCCTAAACCCTAAACCCTAAACCCTAAACCCTAAACCCTAAACCCTGGATCCTAAACCCCTGGTGGACGTCTTGGGGCACCCCCGGAGGACTGCAATGCCGGCGCCGAGGGCAGCGACGCCAAGCCGCTCGGGGAGGGGGTGGCCAAGGTGGGCCCAGGGATACCCTCAAAACATTAGGGTTTAGGGTTCGGGTTCAGGGTTCCCTGCTGACAGCCCAAGTTAGGACCCTGATAATCTGCTCACCGCCTGGTGTGAGACTTTTTGTGGGGTTTGAAAGGCTGCGGAGCCAGCCTCACGGTGAGCTTCAGCATTTGGGGGTTCAGGTTTCATCGGGTTTCGAGGGCGTTGTGAGCAACATCTGCGGCCAGAAGGTCCCTCCGGGCGGCGTCGTGGTCAGCAGAGGCGGAATTTTGTGGGGGCATCGGTTGGCTTAGGTGGTGAGTAGTAGAGAACTTTACACCGAACCCGAAGCCTTCTAAATGAATAATGCTGTAACTCAGGATCGATTCGCAGGGTTCGCATTCTCCCGCCCAGAAAGTGCTTTGGCCGGCTACCTTGTCTGCGGCTCCTATTGCGTAGATAGGATGCGACGTGGGTTGGCGAAGGACTACGTAAGGGTTTTAGCTGAAAATGCTTTTGTCCATCCAATTCAGCATTGATTTTTCAAGCATATGGGCGTTTCCGAAATCAGGGGTACCTTATGCGGGCCTTTAAAGTTTATTTGGGAATCCTACTGGTTGGGGGCCTGTATCGGGGTCCCCTATTTCGCTGACTCGATTGGTGTTTTGACTTCCAGTCAGGGGCCTGTAGGCTTTATTTTGAGGCCGGGACCTGGTTCTTGCGCTTTCATAGCAGGGTCTGGGGGTCCAGGGTGTTGTTCACTAAACCCCAAAACAGCCTCCACAAGACTTCTCGGGCCCTTGAACCCTAAACCCTAAACCCTAAACCCTAAACCCTAAACCCTAAACCCTAAACCCTAAACCCTAAACCCTAAACCCTAAACCCTAAACCCTAAACCCTAAACCCAGGGTTTTGGGTTCAGGCTCAAGTTTGGATTTTCAACTCCTCAGCGCAGAGTTCTCCTGGCTTCTTCCCAACATCCTTGCACAGGAAACCCTGGTAAGATCCTTCATCCCGTCCCCTTCCCAAAAGACCCAAAGGTAATCTACATACACTCAGAAGGTCCGCTGTTTTTTGTGGGTTAGGGGAGAATTTCCTAAACCCTAAGCCCTAAACGCCACAGCCCCTAAGGCCTGCAAAGCCCGGAAGCCTCAAACCCTGACAACCTCACACTCCCAAAGCTGAAGCTGTAAACTCACCCTAAACCCTAAACCCGAAGCCCCAAACCCTAAACCCTAACCCCTAAACCCCAAACACGATTCTGCCAGGGCTCGCAAGCCTCGACCCCAGTGCCTTCAAAACTCAGGCTCAGAGGGGGTTTAGGGGTTTTGGGTTTAGCGGGTTTAGGGTTTAGGGTTTAAGGGTTTAAGGGTTTTAGGGTTTTAGGGTTTTAGGGTTTTAGGGTTTTAGGGTTTTAGGGTTTAGGGGTTTGGGGTTTTGGGGGGTTAGGGGTTTTGGGGTTTAGGGGGTTAGGGGTTTCAGGGGTTTCAGGGTTTGGGGTTTGAGGCTTCAGGTTTAGGGTTTGAGGTTCGGGGCTTTAGGGGTTTAGGATCAGGTGGGGTTAAGTGCCCGGGTTCGGGGTTTTGGGTTTTGGGTTCAGGGTTTTGGGTTTAGGGCTCGAGGGCTGATTTCGGGTTCCTTTGCTGCGGCTTCCAGGTCTTAAGGAGTTTTTGCCAGAGGTTTAAGGTTTTGGGGCCCGCTAGCCTTCTGGGTTTCTAGATTTCGGGTCCCGGGTGCAACTAGACCCCCAAACCCTAAACCGGTCTCCAGGCCTTACGGTTGGGGAGGCCGCAAAAAAGGCGTGGGGCCAAAGGCACCCCCAAGAACTGAAAAAGCCCTCATAGGGTTTAGAGTTCAGGGTTCCGGGTCGAGGGTGGCCCCAACAAGCCCGTAAGTATAAGCACTACGAACTACCTCCAGCCCTAAACTCCAGGCCCTATATAACCCGTAAACCTGTGCCCTAAACCCTATAAACCCTAAACCCCCCCCCCCCCCCTAAATGACTGTTTCCTTCCAGCGCGCCAGGTGCAGGTTGCGCCTGTCCCTCACCCAGATTTTTTCTCAGATTCCCCCAGTGGCACCTCTGGTGGGGTTTAGGGTTTTGAGTTTTGGGTTTAGGGTTTAGAGTTTATAGGGTTTAGGGTTTAGGGTTGAGAGTTTTGTTTTTGGGGGTTGAGGTTTTGGCCTTGAAGGATCTTAAGGGGGCGTCGGGTGCAGGATGTAGTTTTTAGGATGTTAGGGGTTTGGTTTGGGGCCATTAAGCTGTCGGTTCCCTACTGTGAGCTCATTAAGCATGGCTTGCCTCCCTGGCCCTAAACCCGTAGCCCTAAACCCTAAACCCTAAAGTCTCAACCCTAAACCCTAGGCCCTAAGCCCTGGACCCTTTGAAGAAGCGGCGAATTTCCTTAGCTGTTCGAGATATGTCGACTCGGCTTTCAAAAGTGGGTGCAGGGTTCAGGGTCTGGCAACTTGGGGGCTTTTGGGGTTTAGTGGTTTGGGGGTTTAGGGGTTTAGGGGTTTAGGGGCTTAGGGGCTTAGGGTTTAGGATTTAGCTCATGGGCCATCAGGTAGCGCATTGTTCTTTTTCTTTGCCGCCTTCCTGTTGCGCTTGCAGGCCCAAACGCTGTAGCACTGTAGTCCTGAGCATGCAGTTTAAGACTTTTTGCGCTGTAAGAAGCCCGCGGTTTAGGGTTTAGGTTGGGATGTTCCCCCGTGTACTTACAGTCCTTAACAGGGATGACAATAAGGGGGTACCCTAATCGACTGTAGTATAAGGGGAAACATACCAAGGTGTGGGGTTTATGCTGCAGGCTTTCTTGTCGCGATTGTGTAACAAAATCTCCGCGATTATGCGACCTCTGGGATGGAGGCAATGCACACCACTACTTTGCTGGTCCCTAAAGCCTAAACCTTCCAAAGCCCGAAATCTTCAACCCCAAACCCTAAACCCTAAACCCTAAACCCTAAACCCTAAACCCTAAACCCTAAACCCTAAACCCTAAACCCTAAACCCTAAACCCTAAACCCTAAACCCTAAACCCTAAACCCTAAACCCTAAACCCTAAGCCCTCCCCCCAACGCCCCCGAGGCTCCCGAGAAGCTTAGCAGCTCCCTGTGTGGCTGAGGCGCCTTCGGCGGCCCCGGTAATGTCTCCTGCTGCCGCGTGAGTGCTTGGTGTTTAGGGTGTTGGGGTTTGGGGTTTAGGGTTTAGGGCTAGGGTTTCGAGTTTGCGGTTTAGGGTTTAGGGTTTATACATAGGGTCTAACGGTTCAGGCTTGTGCTCTTCTGGCTTAAGGGTTCGGGTTTGGGGCTTCAATCCCCAAACCCCAAATCCTGAGATCAGGGTTTGGAGTCAGTCGGTGAGGTATCCGTTCGCTGAGTTTGCGGCGCTGCGAGGCAAGACGCAATGGATGGAAGAAAGCCGCACTGATCCTCAGGGTTGAGGGTTTGGGGTGCAGAGGTTAGGGGTGTTAGGGTTTAGGCGTTTAGGCGTTGAGGGTTTGTCATGGTGTAGGGGTGCCTTAAAAAGCCCCTAAGCCCTGAACCCCCGAATCCTCTAGTAGGGTTTAGGGTTTAGGGTTCAGGATAATCCAGAATGTCGCAACTTTGACAGAGCCGGTCCGGGTTTCGGGGGGGACAAGGGGGAGCGTCCGGCCGAGGGTTCCGCGGAACGGAAGCAACTGGGAAAACACAACAAACCCTGAACAATGCCCTTGTAAGGTCTCTGAAGTACCCTGAAACCCTAAGAGCTTCGGGTTAGGTCTAGAACGGCCCGTCTGCAACCCTTCCTGGAGGCTGCAGGAACCCGCCCACAGTACCTCGTGATCAAGGGGCTGCGAGGGCTTTTTAAGGTTGAGGTTTTAGGTAGGTTTTGTTTGCTGTAATGTCAGGGGTGGGGGGGGGGTGGAGTTCGGGGCTTGGGGCTCTTTTTCGGGGGAACTTCTGCAAACATTGTCGGCTGTTGGTGTTTAAGGTTTGCGGCGGCTTTTTTCCCACTAGGCCAACCCCAAACTCTAACAAACCCCCGGCCCAATCCAAGCCCCAAGCCCCAAGCCCCAAGCCCCAAGCCCCAAGCCCCAAGCCCCAAGCCCCCAGCCCCAAGCCCCCAGCCCCAAGCCCCAAGCCCCAAGCCCCAAGCCCCAAACCCCAAACCCCAAACCCTAACAAACCCCAAAAACCCTAACAAACCCCCCTGCCCAACATCCATTGTATGGCCGGCCTTTTTTTGGGGCTCTCCAAGTGCGAAGCGCCGTGCGCAAAGCGCACGGCGGCGAATCGGGCTCTCGCTGGGCCTCGGAGAGGTCATGGCCCGGACCCTTAGTTGGGGGGGGGGGGGGGGGGTTTAGGGTTTAGGGTTTAGGGTTTAGGGTTTAGGGTTTAGGGTTTAGGGTTTAGGGTTTAGGGTTTAGGGTTTAGGCTTTAGGGTTTAGGGTTTAGGGTTTAGGGTTTAGGGTTTAGGGTTTAGGGTTTAGGGTTTAGAAGATTTCTAAGGGGGTTGGGGGTTTGGGACTAGGAAAGGAAACCTCGGGAGGTCTGGGGCTGAGACGTTGGGACGCTGGAGGGTTTCTTTTGCACGGCAATAGGGGCCAACTTAGATCGCGTTAATTCAGTCCCCAGAACCCCTAACCCCTAGTCCCCTAAACCCCTAAACCCTAAACCCTAAACCCTAAACCCTAAACCCTAAACCCTAAACCCTAAACCCTAAACCCTAAACCCTAAACCCTAAACCCTAAACCCTAAACCCTAACCCCACACCCCCGAAGCCTAAAGGCCCATGAACACCCCCCAACCGCCTCACAAGCCGAGGCGAGAGGCGGCCCCGCCGTCCACGCAGAGGGCTCAGGCCACCAAAGCGCAGCTCAAGGGTGTTTTGGGGGGTTCCTGTTAGGGTTTAGGGTTTAGGGTTTAGGGTTTAGGGTTTAGGGTTTAGGGTTTAGGGTTTAGGGTTTAGGGTTTAGGGTTTGGGGTTTCGGGCTTAGGGTTTCCGTTTGAGGTTTAAAAAGTAGAGGCAGTCAGACCAGAGGCAATTCAACAGCAAGGAGGTTCGCGTTTCCCCCTAAACTGTCAACCTTAAACCCGCAACCCTCGACCTTAGACCCTAAGCCCTCAAGCCGAAACCCTCAGCTCTCAACCAAAAACCGTCAATCTTAAACCCTCAACCCTCAACCCTCAACCCTGAACCCTAGGCCCTCAGTCCTAAGTCCCTGAGTCCCCACAAGCACAAGTTTTCGAAGTCTCCCTTGTTCAGGGTCCAGGGTTTAGGGTTTAGGGTTTCGGGTTTGGGGTGCCTGGCGGAGGCAATGGGGACATGTACGAGTACGCCGAGGCGCGGAAACCAACCCCAGCTTTTAGGGACCTCGAGGGGTTTAGGGTTTAGGGTTTAGGGTTTAGGGTTCTAGGGTTTAGGGGTGTTTAGGGGACGAGGGTGTAGAGCCTCAAGGTTCCGGGATTGTAGCTCAAGGTATCTCTGATCCTTAAAGGTCAAGAATATCTGGTGCCATATGTGAGGCCGTTGTTGCGGGGTTTAGGAGCCCTTCGGCCCCCTAAACCCAGTTATCAGCTCGGAGTTTAGAATCCAGGACTTGGGGACTTGGGGACTTCGGGACTTAGGGACTTAGGGACTTAGGGACTTAGGGACTTAGGGACTCAGGGTTTGGAGTCTTTTGCAAGGTTTTGAGCTTTAGGTTTTAAGGATTAGGATGCAAGGCTTGGGCTTAGGGCTTAGGGCTTTGGGCTTAGGGCTTTGGGCTTAGGGCTTGGGGCTTAGGGCTTAGGGCTTAGGGTTTAGGGTTTAGGGTTGAGGTTTAGGGTTTAGGGCACCCTAAACCCTAAACCCTAAACCCTAAACCCAAAACCCAAAACCCAAAACCCTAAACCCTAAACCCGAAAACCCGAAACCCGAAACCCTCAAACCGCGGAAGCTCGGACAGTTTCTCACTTCAGGTTTCCCGCCCAAACCTGCTGCAGCGCCCAGTACGCCCGCCGCAGAGCCCAGGTCCCGACCAAGGCTCCGCCCACCAAGCCTAGCCCTAACCCCAGCATCTGCAACAGATGCAGTTCCAGGGCCGCATCTGGTACTACTTTTACGACCTAGGCAGCCCCTTGCCCGGGGCCACGGATGTCGACTGGGAAATCTGGGAGGCCGACGATGAGCCCCCCAGGATTCTGGACATGGATGGAGGGAACATCTTTGCCCGTCAGGGCGGGAAGTTGCTGTGGATCCATGGCGAGCGTGAAGTTGAGAGGTGGCTCGACCTGGCCTGCCTGAGTCGTCCCTTTCTTCAAACCCAAAACCCAAACCCAAAACCCAAAACCCAAAACCCAAAACCCAAAACCCAAAACCCTAAACCCCAAACCCCAAACCCCAAACCCGAAACCCTAAACCCAAAACCCTAAACCCTAAACCTTAAACCCTAAACTCTAAATCCTGAACCCTAAACCCTAAACCCTAAACCCTAAACCCAAAACCCCTAACCCTAAACCTTAAACCCTAAACCCCGAACCCCACCCCTAAGCAGTCCCCAACTCTTGCGACGTTCGGTGGAGGCTGCGGACCTTCTTGGCCCCGCGGCCCTCGGACACGCCAGGGACCTGGTGGGATTTAGGGTTTAGGGATGGTTTAGGGTTTAGGGTTTAGGGTGCAGGGTTGAGGGTGGGCTCTTGCGTGTGGCTTTGGCGTGTAGGGATCAGGGTTTTGGGGTTCAGGGTTTCCTTTTAGGATCCCTAACCCGAAGCCCTAAACCCTAAACCCTAAACCCTTGCGGTTTTCAGGGGCTCTGGGGGAGGGTGGCAGTTGATGTCAGGATCTTTGGTGTGAGTTTCGGGGTTTAGGGCTGAAGGTTTAGCGTTTGGGGTTTTGGGGGTTCAGGTTTCCAAGTTTTCCTGGGGTTCTGGACGTGAGGGTTTCGAGGTCAGAGTTCTCTTGGTTGGCATCTGACTGGCAGTGATCCTCCGATGAAACTCCAGTACTGACTTTAAGACCGCGGACCTTAGACAATCTTCAATTCTGTCTGAATGCAAGTGCGATTGCGGCGTTCGATGGGGTGCGTTTGTTTATGTTTCGTTGGTGGTCGTGCCGCTGCTGCTAAGGTGGGGATCCGTGGTTGGTCCTGCTTGGTGTTTGAGGCCGCTGTTAAACCAAAGATTCACCAATGATTAACCGTAAGAACCCTCGTGGTTTCAACCAGCCCCCAAGCCCGAAACCCTGAGCCCAGAACCCCCTAAACCCTAGACCCTAGACCCTAGACCCTAGACCCTAAACCCTAAACCCTAAACCCTAAACCCTAAACCCTAAACCCTGAACCCTGAACCCTGAACCCTGAACCCTAAACCCTAAACCCTAAACCCTACCCGACTAGGCTCGGAGACGACTGGTACTTCGACACAATGAACTTGCTTTTAGACCGCCGGGGGCTCGATCCTACTCAGACGATTCTGGGGCCTTGAGGGTCTCAGATGTCTAGGGTTTTAAGGGGTTTAGGAATCGAGGGTTTAGGGTATATAACCCTAAACCCTCAACCCTAAACCCTAGAACCTAAACTCTAAACCCTAAACCCTACTCCCTAAACCGTAAAACTCTAAACCCTAAACCCTAAACCCCAAACCCTAAACCCTAAACCCCAAACCCTACAGTCCAAACCCTAAACCCTAAACCCTCAATCAGGGTTCGAAGGCTCCCAGGTCGTGTTTCACCCTTGCGGGCCTGTCCGGTGGCCCAAACAGGTAGTGAAGGGTACGGCACTTGCTCTGTTGTCGGTTTTAGGGTTTGGGGTTTGGGGTTTAGCGTTTAGGGTTTCGGGTTGAGGGATTAGGGTTCAGGGTTTCGGGTTTTACTAGGGTTTAGGGATGAGGGCTTGGTTGTCTACCGCCTCCCAGCGCGCGTTGGGTGGCGGAGCCTCGAAGAAGTCTTGTTTTTGTATTGGTTTCTTTTTTGGGGAAGGGGTGGAGGTACGGGAGAGGGTTCTGGGGAGTACGGTTTCTGGGGGTAGTGATACTTCGGGTCGCTGGGGGTTTCGGGAATAAGGCTGAGACCTAAGCAAGATCTAGCCCTGAGGCTTAAAGCCCTAAGCAACAAACATGAAGTCCTGTGCCACAACCTGGAACTCGCCGAACCTCAGCGGGTTTCGTTTAGGGCCTAGGGTTGAGCGAAGCCCAGCTGTGGCCTTTGTGTCCCGAACTAGACGATGGCCTCCTAAACCCTAAACCCTAAACCCTAAACCCTAAACCCTAAACCCTAAACCCTAAACCCTAAACCCTAAACCCTAAACCCTAAACCCTACACCCTAAACTTGCTACCTACAAGGCCGTGATGCCCTAAACCCGAGACCCTTGACCCGTGTTAGAGGGCTGCAGCTCCATCATGCTACGGCGCTTAGGCTGCCCTATAGAATCCCTTAAAGGGTATATATAGGGCCCTCATTCCCTCATTCCCTCATGCCCTCATTCCCTCCTTCCCTCATTCCCTCCTAAGAACCAGGGGGTAGGAGTTTGGCGTTGTTAGGGTTTACGGCTTAGGGTTTAGAGCTTCAGGGGCTGAGAGGCTTCAGGACTCCGCACATCCAACCCCAACTCCCCACCCCCCCACCCCGCCCTCGACACAAAAAGTGCATTCGGGTTTAGGGTTAGGGTTTAGGGTTTAGGGTTTAGGGTTTCGGGTTTAGGGTTTAGGGGGCGACGGAACAGCACGCTGAGGAAGAGCGACCCGCATCACCCTGCTGATGGGAGCAGGAGCGTCGCGCGCAATGTCAACGCAGTACGCGCGCTCTCCCAAGGGCAGCACGCGCACACGTCTCAAGTACGGGAAGCTCACGTGCTCCCAACTCCCTCTCGGGCGCTGCCATGGTCTCTTTTTGGATGAACACTGCAGAGCAGGCGGTCTCTGACCATTACTCTTACCTGGTGGAGGTGGTGGGTTGAATTAATGAACCCCAATTAGAAATCCCTAAATTTCAATCCTACACATCACAAACCGAAGAACCTTCAACCCAAACAAACCCCTAAGCCCTGAACTTTAAGCGTTAACTAAGAACCTCTAACACCCAGGTTTGCAGTTACGAACAAAGGGACCCCTAAAGTAGGATTTCCTTTCAGAAGGATGGAAAGGGAGTGCAACGTGGTAATGAAGCCAGCTAAACCTTAAACCCTAAACCCATACCCTAAACCCCAAACACTAAACCCTAAATCCTAAACCCCAAACCCCAAACCCCAAACCCCAAACCCCAAATTCCAAACCCCAAACCCCAAACCCTAAACCCTAAACCCTAAACCCTAAACCCTAAACCCTAAACCCTAAACCCTAAACCCTAAACCCTAAACCCTAAACCCTAAACCCTAAACCCTACACCCCAAACCTTCAACCCTAAACCCTAAACCCCAAAACCCTGAACCCCCAAAAGCCCTAAACCCCAAAAAGCCCTAAACCCGAAGCCCTAAACCCCAAACTTCTCAACCCCAAACCCCCCAAAAAGGCTGGGGGCCGTCGCACATCCAGTTCCTGCGGAAGAAGTTCTTGGAGGCGTCAGCTGTCGGTTCTGAGGTTGCCTAGGGTTTAGGGTTTAGGGTTTAGGGTTTAGGGTTTAGGGTTTCGGGTTTGGGGTTTAGGGTTTAGGGTTTAGGGTTTAGGGTTACACTTTCCAGACCAAAACACGTCATTGGGTTTGGGGTGTGACGTGGACTTATCCCGAACCTTGCCTTCTGGCCCAATTTCGAACCTCCTAAACCCTAAACCCTAAACCCTAAACCCTATACCCTAAACCCTAAACCCTAAACCCTAAACCCTAAACCCTAAACCCTAAACCCAGAACCATCGAATCATTCGGGGGCAGAGTTTTGGTGTTGTTTCGGTTTTAGGGTCACAGGGTTGCAGGATGTAGGGCTTGGATATCAGTTTACGGGTTTTGGGGTTTTTTGGGGGGTTTTCGGAATCAATGTATAAAGAGCAAATCAGAAGGAACCCGGAGGGTGTACGGCAGGGGGGTGTAGCTTCCCACATTCCTCAACTAAGGCATAAGAGAACCCCCCAAAATGGGTATTTCCCAAAGTTGGGCCCAAATGCCTTAATACGGCCTCCTAGACACCCTACTAAGCTCAAGCCCTCAACTTGTTGGTTCAGGGTTTAGGGTTTAGGGTTTAGGGTTTAGGGTGTGGGGTTTGAGGCTTCGGGTTTGCGGTTTAGTGGGTGGACTGCCCCTTGGTGCCAAGAGCGAGGCCACTGAGAATGGGGAGGAGGAGCTGGACAAGAAAGGCGCTGCCCTTGGAATGGATCCGCCCATGGGAATTGGGAGGTTCATGGTTTATACATATATGCATATTTGATTTTCGTTTTTTTTGATAAGGGTTGGGGTTTAGGGTTTAGGGTTTGAGTTTAGGGTTTAGGGTTTAGGGTTTAAGGTTTAGCGTTTAGGGTTTAGGGTTTAGGGTTTCGGTTTTAGGGAGGGAACCAATTGCAACTGTACTTATAACCAACTTATAAGCCCCTAAAGTGCCCTGGCTTCGTTGTAAGTACAGTGATGAAAGGCGTTGCCCCTGGAGTCGATCCGCTCATGAGAGTGAGTGTGTACCATAGGGGCCTTAGTCATTATAATGGGGTTTTGGGGTTTACAGGGTTTAGGGTTTAGGGTTTAGTCTTTAGGGTGAATAACTAGAACAGAGTTTTGGGTGTTATTCTAGTAGAGTTACATAGGGACCAGAAGGGAGTTCTATTAGTAAGTATTCTGACCTATGTATTAGTCTAGGTTTTAGTCTTGGGTTTTGTCTGGGGCTTTTTGGGTTTGTAGGGATTGTAGGGATTGTAGGGTTTTGTCGTCCATTCTTGTAGTTTTTTGGGGGCGGGGCAGGGGGGGTTGTAGGGTTCATAGGGGTTAAGAGATTTCTGGCCCCAGTGGTTGGTAAGGCTCGCGTTGTTCGTTCCGCAAGGAAAGAGGGTTTAGGCTTTAGGGTTTGGGGTACAGGGTCGAAGAGTTCAAGACTTGGAGTCGTACGGCATACTTGGTGGGGGGGGGGAGTTGGCTCCATGGGGGCAGGTTTGGGCACCCACTCCCGAGGCTCACGACCCTGAGTTTTCTTCCCGAATAGGGGTTTACGGGTGTAAAGCTTCTACCCAAGCCTTGACGTAAACCCTTAAACCAGTCACGAACCCCCAAAAGCCTAAACCCCAAAAAGCCCAAACCCTAAGCCCCCAAAAACCCCAAACGCCTAGACCGTGTAAATTACGCCCTGCAAGCCCGAAAGGCTGTTAGACCCTTAGCCCTGAACCCTAAAGGCCCTACAGCCCAAGGGCCTCAAGCCCCTAAACCGCATGACCCCATAGCAGCCACTACTTGCTTAAGAACCTCCCCAAAATAGCAGATAAGAATCATCATATGAAGCAGGGTTTATATTACTGTTTTTGGTGAATGCATATAAGGTTCCTTTTTTAATATTGGTGAGCGTATGTACCTGGTGTCCTTTTGGGGGTACAAGAAATATATACCCTACTTCATATTGCCCTAAGAAGCAGAACATGTTCATTGTTTTTGGGCGGCTCTCAAGCAAATAGCAGACTGGGACGCAGAGTAGGCCCTGATTCGCTCTTTTGGGGGTTCAGGTTCCCTTGTGCAGTACATAGTTTAAACCAAAAAGGGCACCCCTTTCATTCCTAGCCCTAAACCCTAGCCCTAAACCCTAAACCCTAAACCCTAAGCCCTAAACCCTAAACCCTAAACGCTAAGCCCTAATCCCTAAACCCGAAACCCTAAACCCTAAACCCTACACGCCAAGCCCTAAACCCTAAACCCTAAACCCAAAACCCAAAACCCTAAACCCTAAACCCTAAACCCTAAACCCTAAACCCTAAACCCTAAACCCTAAACCCTAAACCCTAAACCCTAAACCCTAAACCCTTGTATTCCTACGAGGCTTCTTTAGCCTCTTCGCCGAGCTGCAGGCTGCGATTTAGGGTTTAGGGTTTAGGGTTTAGGGTTTAGGGTTTGCAGGGGGGGGGGGGGGGGGGGGGGGGGTTTAGGGGTTTAGGGTTTAGGGTTTAGGGGGTTAGTGTTTGGGATTTAGGGGTTGGGGTTTAGGCTTAGGGTTCAGGGTTTAGGGTTTAGGGTTTGGGGTTTAGGGTCTAGGGTTTGGGGTTCAGGGTTCAGGGTTTAAGGGTCCATAGAACTACCGTTAGTCTGGGTGCCCCAGCTTCCCCCCCCCCCCCCCCCCCCCCCCCCCCACAAAGACAGGGGTTGTGGTTGAGGGTTTGGAGTTTAGGGGTTTAGGGTTTAGGGTTTGGGGTTTAGGGTTGAGGGGTTGTGGGGTTAGGGTTTGGGTTTAGGATATAGGATTTGTGGTTCAGGGATTGTGGAGTTTAGTGGTTGTGGGGTTTTAGGGTTTGGGGTTTAGGCGGAGCCCGCGTGCTATGGTTTAGGCTTCATGGTTGAGGGTGCTTTGTGGCTCAGGGTCGAAAGTTTTGTTCTGAGTCGCTTTGAGAAGTATCTAGGGTTCAGGACTCTTTGCGGGTTAAGTTTTGCTTTGAGGTTTAGTTGAGGCTTCAGGGATATTTTTTCAACCGCACTACTCTGGAGCTACGCAGCTCGAGGCCCATCCCCGAAACTGTTGAACCTTAGTGATGCGTGGTTATAGCCCCAGATCCTAAGCCGTGAGCCTGAAACCCTAAAGCCTAAACCCGAAACCCTAACCCGAAACCCCAAACCCCAAACCCTAAACCCTAAACCCGAAACCCTAAACCCGAAACCCTAAACCCTAAACCCGAAACCCTAAACCCTAAACCCTAAACCCCACACCCCCCTCCTCAAAAAGCCCCCGAACGCCGCAGGACATGCCGCCCTCGGTCGCCGAGTCGGCGTTCCGCACCGCGGCTTTGGTATTCGGGGGGTAAGGCCGCCTACTAGGGTTTGGGGTTGAGGGTTTAGGGTTTGGGGTTTGGGGTTTAGGGTTTGGGGTTTGTGGCTTAGGGTTGAGGGTTTGGGGCGTTAGGCTTGCCGCAGTGTTTTGGGGCTTTGGGTTTCAGGCCCAGGTGAGGATGTATCTTCCACTGATGGCGTGATGTTTTTCGGCAGCGCTGGTCTGGCAGATCAGACTTTGCCTGGGGGAGGCGATGTTGAGTCCCTCACCCTAGGCCCTTAAAGCCCTTAAAGCCCTTAAAGCCCTTAAAGCCCTTAAAGCCCTTAAAGCCCTTGAAGCCCTTGAAGCCCTTAATCCTAGGGAGGATAAGGGGGGCCCTTAAAAGGGAACCCTTCTTAACCCTCTTCTGGCTTTCTTAAGCAGGGGCCTTATTCAGAGGGTCGATCTCCCCAAGGGTCCCCATAATCCTATCCCCTACTTAATGCCCTCAAGCCATGGGGCTTTGTGCTTAGATGCTAGAAGCCCCCCGTCCGAGAACCGGGATCTCCCTTTGCGGCTGCTGGCATGGTGACACCCAAATGAAGATAAAGCACCTTAAGCACCTTAAGCACCTTAAGCACCTTAAGCCCTAAACCCTAAACCCTAAACCCTAAACCCTAAACCCTGAATCCTGAACCCTGAACCCTGAACCCTAAACATCCCTAAACCCGAAAACCAAAACCTGCATCGCCCCTGGGGGAGTTGGGTGCTGTTCTGATGTTGAGTCACCCTTCACCCTGCGCCTTGCAAGCCCTTGAAGCCCTTGAAGCCCTTGAAGCCTTTGAAGCCCTTGAAGCCCTTGAAGCCCTTGAAGCCCTTGAAGCCCTTGAAAACCCTAAACCCTAAACCCTAAACCCTAAACCCTAAACCCTAAACCCTAAACTCTAAAAACCCTTTCAAAAGACCTTGAAAGCTCTTAAAGCCCTTGAAGCCCGTAAAGGCCTCAATCCCCCTTGAAGCCCTGAAAGGTCTTCAAAGCCCTTAGAAGCTCAAAAAAGCCCTTAGAAGCTCCAAATGCCCTTCAAGCCCTAAAGTCCCTCAAGCCCTATCTTTTGTTATTAAGAAGCCCTAAACCCTAAACCCTAAACCCTAAACCCTAAACCCTAAACCCTAAACCCTAAACCCTAAACCCTAAACCCTAAACCCTAAACCCTAAACCCTAAACCCTAAACCCTAAACCCTAAACCCTAAACCCTAAACCCTAAACCCTAAACCCTAAACCCTAAACCCTAAACCCTAAACCCTAAACCCTAAACCCTAAACCCTAAACCCTACCCCTAAACCCTAACCCTAACCCCTAAACCCTAAACCCTAAACCCTAAACCCTAAACCCCCCCCCCCCCCCAAGTGCGCCTGCTGTCAGAAGGCCTGTTGAGTACTCCAAACCCTTCATAAAGAGCCCCTAATTTTAGAAGGGTTCTGGTTGCCCAGAGTAAGATAAAACACCTCCACCCTGAATCCTAAACCCTAAACCCCACACACAAGGAGAAGGGGTTTGGGGTTTAGGGTTTAGGTTTTAGGGTTTAGGGTTTGGGGTTTGGGCTTCTGGGGAAGCGCCGAGGTATGTTCGACGCGGACGGCAGTGGCAAGCTGCGTGGTCCTTGGTTCCTAGGACCCGGAGTAGGCCCTTATTCTCTTTTTTTGGGGGGGTTTAGGGTGTAGGGTTTAGGGTTTAGGGTTTAGGGTTTAGGGCTAGGAGCCAGGGAGGCCCTTATTCCCTTTTTGGGGGGGGGTTTAGGTGCCCTTACAAGCCCCTTTAAACCATAAAGGGCACCCCATTTTCCTAGTTATCTCCACGGCCGGCTCGCTAGGCAAGAAGATACTGTCATCTTCGTGACCCTGTAGCCGCCAGATCCGCTAGATGACATAGAGAAGCTTCCACACCGTGAGATCTTTCCAGCGAATTCTCCAAGATTTTAAACGATATCCCTTTTCCACTAGGAGTTAATCATACAAGCGAGCCACATGGCTTCATTACGTTTAAGTTCTTATGTACGCGCATGAATGAAGTTACTATGCCCCGTTCATTCGTTTCATGTCGTTCACTTCTTGTTGCCCTGTGATCACAAGAAACTACCTAGTGACAAGAGAAGACAACCGCCACTAACCCCTAACCCCAAAACCCAAAACCCTGAACCCCAACCCAAAGCCCACGCATCACCAAGGAATTTCAAGGAGTTCTGCTGTGCTCGGTACCCAGATCACGCCGACGGGTTGAGGGTTTAGGGTTGGGATGTTCCCTCTTATGCGCAGTCCCAAATAGGGATTATCAGGGTTACGATACTAATCCCCATTAAGGCCTGTTAGTATACGCGGAAAACATCCCAAGCCGTTCAGAGCAACGTGGAGGAGGTCAAGGTTTAGGGTTTAGGGTTTAGGGTTTAGGGTTTAGGCTTTGGGGTTTAGGGTTTAGGGTTTAGGGTTTAGGGGGATGGGGGTGAAGTGTCTTGGGGATGTAGGGTTTTGGGGCACTAAAACTTGGGACTGTTCGCAAGGTTTTTTTTTTCTCATCTTGGTGTTGGGCAGCAACGGACAACCTGCCCATGATGGGTTTAGGCCCGAACTTGCGAGGGCTTGACGTGTTAAAGCCTGAAGCCCAAAATCTCTGGCCCCTCTATAGTATCTTGCAAGTAGTATATAGTAGATAGTGCATAGTATATAGTATATATATATATGAGTATACATATATATATATATAGTATATAATGTAAGTGTATGTATCTGTGTTATATATGGTGTAGATGTTGCATCTGAGACCCCAAGTGGCATGATTTAGAGGTGACTCCAGCACAGCTCATGGAGAGTTCCAAGAGGGCCAAAAGGGATCCCTCACATTCGGCTCCTGCTGACGGTCTTGTCGCATTCCGAGTGGATGGAGAGCGGTTCGAGATTCTGGAGCAGACCATCCGTGCGAGGGGTGACACCTTGTTAGCGACATTGCTCGATGACCCCCAGCGCGACACCAGACATGAGATCTGTGTAGAAGGCAACAAGCAGCGCTTTCGATACATCCTGGACTGGTATCGCTATGGGTCCATTCTGCTACCGTACAGCATCAGTGTTGCCGAGATGAGACGTGATTGTGCATTTTTCCAGCTGCCTGATGATCTCAGCATCCAGAATGAGCAAGCCACCCTCATAGAAAGCGAAGAGATGTTGGACAAGCGTTTGAATGAGATAGTGCGTCGATGTGAAGGGAAACAGTTGCTGGCAGAGCAGCGCCGCCAGTCAGCTCAGACGCAGATCGCTGCCATGACCCTGGTAAAGCGTTTGATCAGCGACTTCCATCAGATCAAGACCACACCGACAGTCTCACGAAGAACGGCGCACTTTCGGTCTTCTCCTTACTCTGAGAGCTTTCGTGGGACACACCTGCAGGAGGTCGTCCAGGGAGCCAACGAGGTGCTTGCCGCGCATGGCTATGCTGTGCGTGGTTGGGAGAAGGCCGAAGCCAAAGGTAAGGGAAAAGGGAAATGGGGAAAGATGGGTAAGGGTAAGGGTGGGGATGAGGTGCTTACGTGGCAGTTCCAACTCCGTCGTGCAAATGAGATCGACCGCAGCTGCAGTTCGAGCAGCTCGAGCAGTGAGGAGTCAGACTGAAGACCATGAATCTTGGAGAAGTCTCACATGAAGTAGGGTTTATGTTGCTGTTATTGATGACTGTGTATAAGGTTCCTTTCTAGTATAGGTGAGTGTATGTACCGGGTGTCCTTTTGGGGGTACAAGAAATATAGACCCTGCTTCACATCACCTCCCGATTTCACGATGTACCCGGAGGTGCAATGACAGTGAAGGGGTAAGAAGGCCCCTGCCATGAGGCAAGCATCGTTACGAGGGAATAATCGGCGTTGCCCCTCAAGCTGCAAGTATGTTCCATGATGCCTAACCCTAAACCCCAAACCCGAACCCGAAACCCGAAACCCGAAACCCGAAACCCTAAACCCTAAACCCTAAACCCTAAACCCTAAACCACGCAAGACGATGTCAAGACCAAACCCCCACGGGCTTTCGGGTCGTAAGGGGGCTCCAGCCAACACCAAAGTACGAACCGTAGAACTTGGCACAACCCTAAGCGTTGCTCCTTGAAGACCCCAGGGTGTGGGGTTTAGGATGTAGGGTTAAGGGTTGAGGGTTTAGGTTTGATTTCGGGTCTAGAGTTCAATAGGCCTTCCCCCAACCTTAGCCAGCCCTAAACCCAAAGTGAGACCTCAACCCCAAACCTAATTCCATAAACCCTAAATTCCTAAATCCCTCGACCCTAAACCCTAAACCCTAAAGCTAAACCCTAAACCCTAAACCCTAAACCCTAAACCCTAAACCCTAAACCCTAAACCCTAAACCCTAAACCCTAAACCCTAAACCCTAAACCCTAACCCTAAACCCTAAACCCTAAACCCTAAAACCCTAAACCCTAAACCCTAAACCCTAAACCTTAAACCCCAAACCCAACCCCAAACCCTAAACCCTAAACCCTAAACCCTAAAACCCTAACCTAAACCCCTAAACCCTAACCCTAACCCTAAACCCTAAACCCTAAACCCTAAACCCTAAACCCTAAACCCTAAACCCTAAACCCTAAACCCTAAACCCTAAACCCTAAACCCTAAACCCTAAACCCTAAACCCTAAACCCTAAACCCTAAACCCTAAACCCTGTCCCGGGATCCTTTGGCCCTCTGCTCTCCCAGGCCCTCGCTCTCTGCTGCCAGCTGATGTCCTCGGACGATGAGAAGATCCGCTTTGTGCCAGGGGGCTCGGAGAGGTTAGGGTTGAGGGTTTAGGGTTTAGGGTTTAGGGTTTAGGGTCTAGGGTCTAGGGTTTAGGGTTTAGGGTTTAGGGTTCCTCCATCTCTCGCAAGAGGGCTCAGGCCCTTCAGCATGGCTGCAGCACCGGCGGCCTTATGTTAAATCCGGACTGAAAACCAGACTCCCAAGCCCCTAAGCCCTGTAGGGTTTAGGGTTTAGGGTTTAGGGTTTAGGGTTTAGGGTTTAGGGTTAGCCTTTAGGGAAACTCCAAACACTCACATCTTGGCCAGCTTCGACATGTTCGACACCAACGACGACGGCCTCCTTAGCGCGTCGGAGGCAGCCGCAGACCTGTTTGCCTGGGGCGGTGCGTATGTTTAGGGTTTAGGGTTTAGGGTTTAGGGTGTAGGGTTTAGGGTTGAGGGTATGTAGTAGGGAAGCCGCAAGCCCTATGCCCTGAACCCCAAACCCTGAACCCCAAACCCTAAACACCGAGCAACCCCTTAAGGTGCTGTTTAGAGGTGCGTAGCTCCTGCTTCCCTATGAAGAAGACTTAGAGGAAGGGTCTAATATAGGCCTTGGGACTGTTCATGGTTAGCATGTTAGGCCAGGGCTTAGGGTGGTTTAGGGCTGAGGGGTGGTTTAGGCCCGGCCTAGGACTGTTTAGAGCTTGGGATGGTTTTCCGGTTTAGGGTTTAGGGGGTTGCTGGTAGACCCGAAGCTCTCAACCCACTCGACTCCTAGAACCCGAGATCTCAAGTGAAGCCCCAATGCCTTCAATCTTGGGTACTTCATGTCTCAGTCTCCGCCCCAGGCCACAAACTCCTTCTAGGTAGGATAAGGGGGACCCTTAAAAGGGAACCCTTCCGAACCCCCTTTCTGGCTCTCTTAAACAGGGACCTTAGTGAGAGGGTCTCTATCCGCAAGGGTCCTATCCCTTAACTCAAAGCCTTGAGAACCTTCGAACCCTGAACCCCAAGCTCTAGAGGGCAACAGCATCATCGCCTCGAGCTGACGTTCATGCTGTCCTTGCCTGCATCGGCCTACACCCTAAACCTTAAACCTCATAAACTTATTCACAAACCCCGAAGCCCTCAGTAGTACTTGGGTGTTTCTTTCCCAAAATAGGGGACCTCTGTATATACCCCAAGAAACCAGATTCCTTTTTTACAGACCCCCCGCCCCCCGGCAAAGAGGGTAAATGCGCGCCAGCCCTGGCTTTATGTGAAATTTGTGTGCTTGTCGTAGCAAGCGGTTTGGCTGGCGTTCTTTGTTCGGGGCTTTAGTGGGTTTGCAGAGGGTTTAGGGTTTAGGGATTCAGGGATTTAGGTTTTAGTCTAGCCTCTATTTGATTTTCAGTTCTTTGTCTTTGGCTTCCGGGAAGCCTAAAGCCTAAAGCCTAAAGCCTCAAACCCTAAACCCTAAACCCTAAAGCCTAAAGCCTGAACCCTAAACCCTAAACCCTAAACCCTAAACCCTAAACCCTAAACCCTAAACCCTAAACCCTAAACCCCAAACCCCAAAGCCGTAGGCGTTTGAAGGTTGAGTTGCGGTCCGCCCTGTGTGCACAGGTGCAGCAGTTGCTCGGGCATGCCCTCCAACGCGAGGAGGGGCGGGAAGAACCCCTATGATCCCTGTTTAGGGTTTAGGGTTTAGGGTTTTGGGTTTTTGGGTATAGGAACCCTTATGATACCTATTCAGGGTGTAGGGTTCTTGGGTTTAAGAACCCTTATGATCCCTGTTTAGGGTTTAGGGTTTTAGGGCTTTGGGGTTCAGGGTATCAGGGTAGATTTAGGCTTTAGGGTTGAGGGTTTAGGATTTTTGGGTTTAGGATGCAAGGCTTGGGGTGTAGGGTTGTGAACCATAGGGTGTGGAGACCTAGAAGCCCTACAAGTAAGCCCTATTGCTCCGAATCATGAACCCTATAAGCCCTGCCCTGAAAAACCCATATACCGTGCAAACAGTAGAAACACTATTAGCACGGTAGACCCCATGAACCCGAAATGAGCCTTAAACATCCCTAAGCCCTGTAAACCCTATAAACCCTACACACCCCTAAACCCCCTGAGCCCCCTAACCCCATACACCCCCTAAACACCCTAAACCCCACACACTTCCATAAACCCTGTAAAGCCCCATACACACCCTAAACCCCCCTAAACCCCGTCACAGTTTGCTTAACCCCCCTCCCCCCCCACCCCGCAAACAAAAACATAAATAAAGATAATGATTCCTGTGTTGCCCTTATAAGGAAGAAGAGTTTTTGTGTTCCTTGGGGGTGGTTCTTGAGCAATTGGTAGATAAGCCTCACAAACCCTCTCCAGGTTTACATCCCTATGGTTTGGAGAGTCTCGGATTCAGGGCCATCGCCCCAAAGCCTGACTTTGAAAGCACCTGGCGGCTTGGGATGTATCCCTGTACCCTAAACCCTGAACCCTAAACCTTAAGCTCTAAACCCTAAACCCTAAACCCTAAACCCCAAACCCTGGGGTCTGAGAGTTGCTGCAAGGTCAGATCTGGGGGTAATTACGGCTTTTGACCAAGCTTGGGTTTAGGGTTCGGACGGGGAGGCTAAAGTGCTGTTTTGGGTTAAGGCTGTAAGATTTGGCACGAGGGCTGGAGGATTAGGGTCGGAAGTTTGGGTTACGGCTTACGGGTTAGGGATTAGGGTTTAGGGTGTATTTGGGGTTTAGGGCTTAGGGTTCTGGGTTTGGGCTTGAGATTGCATCTGCCTTGCGAGAGATGACCCCAGCTGCACGTGAAGGGCACCATGTAGGGGTCGGGTTTAGGGTTTTGGGGTTTGGGTTTTGGGGTTTAGGGTTTTGGGGTTTAGGGTTTAGGGTTTGGTGTTTAGGGTTTAGGGTTTAGAGTTTAGGGTTCAGAGTTGAGAGCCTTTGGATGTAGAGCACCGCAAGCCCCAAATGCACACATTCTCTTCAAGATCCTAAGCTCCGCCCCAACCCTCTAAAGCCTCTAACCCCCTGAGCCTTAACACCTCTAAACCCCCAAACCCCTAAACTCCCCAAACCTCCTAAACCCCTAAACTCCCCAAACTCCCTAAGCCCCTAAACACCCTAAACTCCCCAAACCCCGTAAACCCTACACTCCCCAAACCCCCTAGACTCCCCAAACCCCCTCAACCCTAAACGCCGAACCACAGCCCGCCTCGCGACGTGGGGTTTAGGGTTTAGGGTTTAGGGTTTAGGGTTTAGGGTTTAGGGTTTAGGGTTTAGGGTTTAGGGTTTAGGGTTTAGGGTTTAGGGTTTAGGGTTTAGGTGGGGGGGTGCAGCAGGATGACAAGAACAGTGCGGCCGCGGACGCGCAGCAGCAGGCTTCCGGGGTGGAGTGGGCTTTGGGGCTTCTGGTTTAGGGTTTAGGGTTTAGGATTTAGGGTTTAGGGTTGAGGGTTGAGGGGTTTTAACCCCACTTGTTTCCTGTCTCCCAACCCTGGCCATAAAGCAGCCCACAGGACCACCTACAAACTCTGAATTCGCATCCTCAACCCTATCAACCTTAAACCCCAGACCCTAGATTGAACCCCCTCAACCCACTATACCCCTCAATCCCTATCCTAAACCCTAAACCGTAAACCCCAAACCCCAAAACAGCCCAAGCCTCGCAGCGCTCCCTCAGGAGGCCGCCGTGCAGCAGCGGACCAAGCGCTTGGCAGACATGAAGCAGGATCGGGGCTTAGCTACGCGGTTTTTGGACGTCGGGCTTAGGACTTAGGGTTTTGGACTTAGTGTTCAAAGTTTAGGGTCTAGGGTTTGCTTGGAGATTGCCGAAAATAGGGGGTACCCTTCTCGGGGGCTCCTATAGTAAGGATCATACTTTGAAAAATGCCCGACTTGGGGGTTCATGGGTACACAACCCCAAGTAGTAGAAGTCTACCTATCACCTACTTCGGGAACTCAGGGGGCTTAGAATGTACTATACGTGTAGGGTTTAGGGTTAGGGGGCCCCTTCAGAACCCCCAAACCCTTAAGCCCCTAAAGCCCTGAAACCCTGAAGCCCGAGGCCCAAACGAGTCCTTGAACAAACCTAAGGGCACAAAACAACATACGTAGACTCTTTATCCTAGACCTGAAATCCTTTCTCGACCTCCTACTCCCAAAGCCATACACCCTCCGAGCTTCACAAACCCCAAAACCCCTAGAATCCCAAGCACTAAAACCCCTAGATCTCCAACCCCTTCCCCCCCCCCCCCGAAAAAAAAAAACAGAAAAGGAAAAACAGAGCGGGACCCCGCCCCCCCCGCCCCCCCAATAACAACAAACAGAACAAACACGAAGAAGCAAACAAGATACAAAAAAAACCAAAAGAAGACCCCCCAAAGCTCTTGGTGAGGAGCTCCTGGGAGCCGGTTCGGCGCCCCTCTCCTTTGACCGCTTCTACGAGCCCCTCGGTACTCCGAGACTTCCAGGGGCTTAGGGTGTACCTGATCCCAGAGTTGAATTGCGGCTAAGGGTTTAGGGTCTAGGGTTTTAGGTGTTGGGAAGGTTGACGTCGGGTCTCAGTGAAGTATTTTGCAGCTTCTTAAGGTTGTTTGACAGGCTTTATTCGGGATTTATGGAGTTTTGTGTTGACTAGACCATAGTTGGCGTACTTTTAAGAGTTTTCCCAAGCTTTGCTCCCTTTTCAGTGATAAAGTGTGTTTGGGCTTTAGGGTTTCGGGTTTGGGGCTTTCGGATTTTATGATTCAACTGGGGCAGTCTCTACCCCTGAGCCCTAATCCCGCAATTTTGGTCTCTGCCTTTCTTCGAGCCATTAAACCTCCAAGAGATCTGCCATGGGTATGTTCAGCTGGGACATCCATGACCGCGAGGGACGACGACATCTCCAAACGTTGCCCACTTCGAGTGGCAACTGGGACTGCGTTCCGAAACGGTTATGGTGTGACGATGTCCCCACACAAGACAAACTGCCCACCGGCAGGGTCAGAGGTGACTCGAAAGAAGGGGCGTTTGATAATTTAGGGTTCCTCCTCCTGATTGCTTGACCGGTGGTGGCCTTCGCTATCATCCGAGCCTTTGCAAGGCCTTGGATCTCAGCAGCGAGTTGCATCGCGCAGATCCTGTCCTAAGCCCTCAACCCTAAACCCTAACCCCTGAACCCTGAACCCTGAACCCGGAACCTTTAACCCTAAACCCGGCATACCGGGCACGCTTCACCGAAAGGTACTACGGGAGCAAATGATCCTCGTGCCCACCGTATGCGGCTAGCACAGGTCCTTCACCCTAAACCCGAAACCCTAAGCCCTAAACCCTCTTCCCTTAAAAGGGTATACATATACATATATACATATATAGGGCCCTAATTCCCTCATGCCCTACAAAGAACCAGCCAGTCATGAAGCATGGGCCCAAAACCCGGAACCTAGAAGACCTGAAAAGATTATGGAAGACTCGGGGGCTTGGGGTCTTTGGGGCTCACGGCTTCGGGTTTCGGATTTCGGGGTTCAGGATGAACGTTCTGTCTTCAACGCCCCCAGGCCCGAAGCCCTCAAAGCCACAAGATCGGAAGCCTTACACCGTAAACCCAAAAAGTCTTCAACGCCCCCAAAGCCCGATGCCCTAACCTGAAAACCTCGATCCTGATCAGCCCCCAAAACCCTATGCAACCCTAAGCCGCTAGGCCCTTAGCCCTAAACCCTAAACCCTTAAGCCCTAAGCTCTTAAACCCTCGTGCCCTAGCAGTCCTGGTCCCGAACTTTTTCCGCCGGCTTCGAGTGGACTCTCCGCCTCTCCGCACCCAGGTGGGCCACGCGAAACATGGCCAGTCTTGCTGGCGAGATTCAGGGTCCGACCTTTTTGAAGCTCCCCTAAGCCCTAAGCCCCAAGCCCGAGCCCAGGTTAAGGGGGTTTTGGCCCAGAAACCTAGAACAGGCAGCCCTAGATCCTTTGAATTCTGAGAGTGACCCATGTGCACATTTCTTCTCAGACCCCAAACAATAAGCCCTTGAACCCCTCCCAAACCCCACACCCTAAACAACACCTGACCTTAGGTTAAGAACTAAACCAAACCAAAACCCCTAAACTACGAATTGCTGCAGACCACCCCCCCCAAAAAATAGCATAATTTCTTCCTTATAAGGGCGATATAGGGATTAGTGTTTTTTAGTTTTGGTGGTTTCTCAAGCAAATAGTAGTAAAACCGAACCAAAAGTCCCAAAGGCCATCTAAACCGAAATCCTAAATCCTAAACCCTAAACCCTAAACCCTAAACGCTAAACCCTAAACCCTAAACCCTACACCCTAAAGCCTAAACCCTAAACCCGAAACCCTAAGGACACCACAGAGTATGAATTGCAAGCGTACTGCAACATGGAATCCATCATGGACTTTCGGCTCGATCCACTACGTGGAGGAAGTGCCCGTCACCGCACTGCTGTTGTCACCATTTCTTCTGCAACCGGGAAGGTCTTCACGATTGACGACGTTTGGCTAATCGATGCCGGCGTGGAAGCCAATGTTGAGAAAGCTTTCCGTCGCCTAGTGAAACTTCAGCACGCGCTGCCATGCGACAATCAGCCGAAATCCGCAGCAAAGCGAAAAATCCCTCCCACGGACCAGCTACCAGTTCGGCAGTGCCGAGCTTTGCACCGCTACCCTAAACCCTAAATCCCTAAATCCCTAAACCCTAAACCCTAAATCCCTAACCCTGAAGTCCCAAAAGCCATCCAGGCCTGGACAACTTGCTCTGCACCTTTCAGCTGGTGCCTTGCCGCGCAACAACGCACACCTTGAGGGTTGTTTAGGGTTTAGGGTTTAGGGTTTAGGGTTGAAACTATAATAATGAGCCTAAAAGTTAAGCTGTTAGGAGGGGTTCAGAAGACAGCCAAGGATTGTTCATGAGACCATGTAATTACCCTCAGAGTCTAATTCGGGTGCGGGTCTAGGGTTGTGTGTATGCTTTTGCTTTTAGACAATTGCAAGTCTCGGCGGGAGGGGGGCTTTATCTGTTTTGTTTCATGCTATGTCTTGGTACCCTCCCTTTAACTACAAGGAATCGACTCCACTCTGTCCACAAAGGGCTCCCGAACACCTAAGCCCTGAACCCTGAAGCTTTGGGTTCCCACACCCCCCTTTTTGTTCACCCGAACAGTGAACCTTAGTGAGTTATCCTGGGACATTGGGCCGGGATCCCTGAATCGCAATCCCTATCCCAAACCCCTCAAAAAA